CTCCATTTTCACTCCTCCCTCACATCGCAGAGAAAACGAAAAAGAAGAGTAAAGGGACCCGAAGTTCTAGTGATGTGGAGATGCGACATAGTGACCGCCCTAGGTATTCCTGGTCACTGCAAAGTCTGAATTATTTAGAGGTGACCATACTTAAAGCTTGGGGCAGAACTAACACATCATGTATCGGATTCTAGCATTAACTTTTTATTTAAAAATTAAGTTCCTTTAACCCTTTCACTGAAATGACTCTGGGCTGGAGTTTTGAAAGGCGAACTCGCCAAAGATAATGGCGAATTTTTCTGCAAACTACAACGGCGCCGAGACCCAGCGCTGTGTGGTTTATGTTGTCTGCACAACCCGCAGACTTTCCATTTCTCGGCTGCAGAATGTCCCTGCAAGAAAAAGCTGACCCTTGACACGGCCAAAACCTTGCGGGACTTGGCCTCCAGGTGCAGGAGTCGCCCCCCTGCCGGTGGCCCCACCCAGTCCCAGAGGTGGGCGGTAGGGACGCCGACTCCGGGGCGTGGCCCCTCGGGGAGAAGGGCGGGGTCACGAGCACCGGGGCAACCGGGTCCGGAGCGGGTGGAGGGGTTGCTGACACAAGTGGGGCGACGGCTCGAGAGGCNTCGTTAGTTCTGAAAGCCCCGAGCTGTAAAACGTTTGGGTCCAGAATGAAACTCTGATCCACAGAAGCTTTCCTTGCCCTGCACTCTAACCCCTGCTGGTGTCTGGAAGCGGGTAGACTGGAGGATTCTAAAGAGTTTGAGGTGGGTGCTGGAGTAAGCTGAGTTTTTAAGACGTGTGAGTTTTCCAGAAAGAAAATAGACTCTCTTAGTTTGAATTAGGTTTTGTTTTTTACTGTATATGTGTGCGTTTTAACAGTAATTGGTGTTGTCATTAAATAGTGAGTCCAGTGGGTATGGATGGTGGTGTTAGATTTGAGAACTAGATTCCCTGTATAGTTTTAAAAATTGACTTCTTCCTTATGTGCCTTTTTTTTTTCTTTATTTTTATTAGTTGGAGGCTAATTACTTCACAACATTGCAGTGGGTTTTGTCATACATTGACATGAATCAGCCATGGAGTTACATGTATTCCCCATCCCGATCCCCCCTCCCACCTCCCTCTCCACCCGATTCCTCTGGGTCTTCCCAGTGCACCAGGCCCTTATGTGCCTTTTTATGTGCCGTGTTACTGGGCTGCATCTTTGTTGGGAAGCCTGTCATATCACCTGGGTGTCTTGTGAGGTTTCCTCTAGTTCTAGCCACTTGACCCACGACTGAGTCCAATAATATATTCCCTTTTAAATTTTAGTGTGCAAGCCCACTTTTCAGGCCTCTGGCTTTGGTCTCCAGTGAGAGGAAAAATGATCAGAAATGTGCTCTTAGCAAGTTTGGGAACACAGAGGAAAGGCGTAGATTTTTTTTCCCCCATTAAACTTTTCGTGTGTTGGCAATTTAGAACCCAAAGCGTTGTTTACCACCTGTCAGATGCACTGTGAAGTGTAAGGATTAACTAATAAAAGATTTGTAAAATGCTTCCTGAATATAAAATTCCATAAATATGCTAAATAGTAATAATCCACCCATTGTTAAATTTATGTAGCTGCTTCTGCCATGCATACAAGATGATTTAGAATGCATGTTTCCTGTCAATTAAACAATGAGTTTGGAGTAAAATAATGAGTGCAATTCGCATCCTGTGAAACTTTGAAATAAAATTTCTCCCATAAGGCACCACTGGCAGGGAATCATAAAGAAAGCAGCATTTCAAAAAGCTATATATGGAATGGCATTTACCTTATGGCTGGGGGGAAAGGGACCCAGTGAACTTCAGAAACAGAAATATTCAGCCCTGGTTGAAGCATGCCTGAACCATAAATATTCCCTTATGTTTTGGGTGAATCAACAAGAAGGGCAAGCAGGTTTCGTGGGGTGGCCTTATAAGCTGTCTGCTAAAATCCATGAATCTAACGCCTCTTGGTATTTTAAGGGTGAAGTTCAATCTGAGGTTTTGTTCACAGACAAAGAAAATCTTCCTAGGTGCCTGGATAAATTATTCATTCTCCCAATATCGTGGGCTTGGTTTTTAAGCATCCTTAACACCAGAAATCATCTTAATACTCTGCAGATAATTAAATTAGTTTGTTCCCGATGGATTGAGTGACTTGTTAACATAACAGGGTTTTCCTTGCATGTGTTTAATAGTATCACTCTTCTGTCTACCAGTCTCCCAGAGTAAAACCTGTTTCCCGTATGCTACTTATAAGTATAAATATTACTATGGGTGGTCTTTTCTGTCTTCTGAAGACAACTCTAGATTCCCCACTAGCAGATTAAGGGGTGAGCAAAACCACACAGCTCAGGGCCTTTTCATCTCATTTCCTGTACTCAGCCTCTCACATGGATAGCTGCCACACAGACACCAGTCCAGTATTCCAGAACTTCTCCGCTGCTTCTCTCTTCCTTTATCCAAGTAACCTCACCTCTGCCCTACTTATTTTCCAATACTTGCGATGGATGCAAGTGCACTAGGTGAAAACTCAGGAGATTCGGCATTTATCAGGCAGTTTCGATATACCAGGCACTGCGGAACATGACCTCATTACATCCCATAACAATCTGAGGCAGTAGATGTCATGTGTGTTTCACACAAGAGGAGACTCAACCTCTAGACAAGGCATTTTGGCATCTCCTGATGCTCTGTGATCCCTAAGAGAGGCTCACCTGCTGGACTGAAGCATGCAAGAGTTCTCCCATTAACTAACTCACCACTTGTTAAGTTCCCCAAACTCTCTGAGCCTTTAATTCCCTTTCTCTAGTCTTAGGTTAAATTATCTCTCGGGGATGGAAGGGACTGTCCAGGATTTTGGCTGCCAAATACCTAAGCTGCACCTCCTGGGGAATTCCTGGGTTCTCCCCTGCCCTGCCCTTTTTCTCCAACCCTTTCCCTTGTTTATCTTTTTTCTTCCTTTAGGTCTAAGAAAATAGCATCTTCCCCACAAAACTTTTCCCAGTCACTGCTCCCAGTCACTCTGTTATTCTCTATCTCATCTTTAGTGATTCTTCAGACCACTGATTACAAGCTGCTGTTGTTTTATTTATGTGTCAGTTTACATGTGGTTGTTGTTTTTATCTTCCCGCAGTCACCCCCCACCTCAAGATCATAAGCAGCATGAGGCCAGAGCTGTTTTTGTCTGACTGTTTTCATTATTTTATTTTATTTTCGGGGCCTAGCACCATGGCACATAGCTGGTGATCAATAAGTATTAACATATATATGTTGAATGAGTAATTGTCTCTTAGAATGAACATGTGCTAACGGCCAATATATTGTCCCCTCCATGGATAACCTAAATGAAGTACCGTCAATATTACGCTGCTAGCCTAAGTCTGAATTATGAATGGGGGTCTAAGTATAGTGATGGAGACAATAGGGCTACCCTTGAACAAAAGGACAGATGGACACACGCACATGGCCCAGCCCGCATATTTTACAGCAGAGAAAACAACTTCAGGGTGATAACTGAAACTTGAGATTAGAAGATAATTTAGAGACCATCCTACTGTCTAAACCATTGTTTTATTGACAAGGAGACAGGAAGTTCAGAAAAATACAGAACCAAAAGTATAGAACCTATGCCTTCTGACCTTCAGACCAGCACTCCTTTCACCAAGAATCAAAAATATCAGGGACCACCCAAACAACTGAGAGGGAGTTGTAGACTATGATGCTTTCTTATTCCAAACATCCTTTCCCAGACTAGTCCTGGGCAGCAGCATTAATACACAGCAGAGCACTCTAGTTGAGATAATTTTTTAAAATTTACTATTTTAATGACCCATCAGGCAGCCTTTAATACCTAAAGTTAGTTTACCAATTCTGTTGAAATACTTGGAAACTCTGAATGGGCAATCTCCAGTGCTGGACGTTTAACTCTAGTATGATAGATTCCAGATACATTTAAAAGATGATTGATATTTTGAATTCCAAATAATGATAGCTTGTTTTTAAGGAGAAAAATAACTTTCCTTCTCTAACTTAGAGCTCAGTTTTTGCTTGAGTATTACATTCCATAAAAAAACAGTCTTTAAATTTTAGAGGTTATAAAAGTCATCTGAAAGACTTCTTAAAAACCCAGATAGCTTGGAGCCATTCTGAACAATTCTACATTAGTAGGTCTGAAATTGGACCCAGAAAACTGCATTTTTAACAAACACGTTTCATGAGTCTTCAATCCGATGGATTGGAAGATCTCACTTTAAGGTCCAATAATAATGGTGGTCTATTTTTAACTTTCCCAGATTTCCTCAAAGAGGATTTTTTTTAAACAAACAAACAAAAAAATCAATGTGCTTGAATCCAGCAAGTAGAAGAGATAATCAAAATCCATTTATTAAGTACTATGGCCATCTCTTTCCTTAGAGTAAAAGGCATATACATATAATCATGATTTTGCTACTAGGCTTGATATTGGCCCCAAGTCAAGAACACTCCAAAATATTTTTGTTGGGTAGGAAAAATGCATCAGTAATTAGCAATAAAAGTTGAGTATTAAATTCAGTGGAGAAATAGTGAAGCCCCTTGCCCTCTAGATGATTATATTCTGTGTAGTTGAGAAATAACATTAATATCCATGAAACATTCAAAGATAAGACCAAATACAGGAGGCTGTTGCACTTGAATTTAAAATATACAACAAATCATGTTTTAGTAAAGGCATGTCCCATATAATATTTTTATTTGCTAAGTCTGGCCACCTTGCTCAAGAAACATTAGCATTTAATGTCATTATTTTCCAGAAGAGTATGTGTGTGTGTGTCTGAACAGAAGGACAGTTGCTGAGTGATAGTTAAACTTTAAGAAATTGATAAAAGCTCTGGACATGCCTCTGAGAAAAATTCCTGATGGTACTTTCCAACAGAACTCTCATACAATTCCATGGAGTCTCCAGGCCACCAGAGCTCTTGGACACACCAGGGTGAGCTGCAGCAGTAGATGGCAGAGGCCAGCTCTTCAAGCTATTTACCTGGGCTGGAGAGACCTTTGGAAGATGGCTCGGATAAGTGGAATTTGAATAAGGCCTTAAGAACAGTAGAATTTAAGCTGGATTGTGGGCTTAGGGGACTTCGGAAGCTTTAAGAGAAAGCAGGTTCCCATAAGGTTCAAAGGTAACTTAGAGAAATTAGCTGCTGCTGCTAAATCGCTTCAGTCGTGTCCGACTCTGTGCGACCCCATAGACAGCAGCCCACCAGGCTCCCCCGTCCCTGGGATTCTCCAGGCAAGAACACTGGAGTGGGTTGCCATTTCCTTTCCCAGTGCATGAAAGTGAAAAGGGAAAGTGAAGTCGCTCAGTCGTGTCCGACTCCTAGCGACCCCATGGTTAAAAAAAAAAGTGCAGATCATGGACAGGCTTGGACTCTAAAAGGTTTAAAGCAACCTATGTTGGGAAATAGAATGTCCTCGTTGATGTGTCGATTAGGGAGAAAACCTGATCAAACAAAGGGAGACAGTGTGGGGAACCTGCAGGGACCCTGAGCTCCAGAGTCCATGGGCTTTATGTAAGCCCCTCCATTAGCAAGCTGGGAAGCCTTTGACATGTGGGCAACTTCTGTAAGCTCCCATCTCTTGGGCTGGGAATTGGGAATAATAATAATAATAAAGACTACTAATGGGGTTGTTGTGAGGGTAAAGTGTAGTTGAACAGTGCTTGGCATAGTGTGCGATACTGCGTAAATATGCAATCAATAGTACCTAGTACTATGATACCCTCCTGCTGCCAGTACTATGCTTGTTATTTCAGTGGGATTAGCCTCAGAGAGGGCAGGCCCTCACTTTTGGGCTTCCCTGGTAGCTCAGATGGTAAAAGAATCTGCCTGCTGCAATGCGGGATACCTGGGTTCAACCCCTGGGTTGTAAAGATCCCCTGGAGGAGAGCATGGCACCCCACTCCAGTATTTTTGCCTGGGAAATCCATGGATGGAGGAGCCTGGTGGGCTGCAGCCCGTGGCCTCATGAAGAGGCAGATACGACTGACTGACTCACACTAAGAGAGGGTATATTATGAATAATCCAAATAATTTACTCTGATCCAAAGTCATGTAACCTTTTTTACTCTTAATAGCAGCTTTGCTGTCTTACTTCTTCTGTTTGAGTTAGTACTGAAATTAATTTGCACACAATAAGCTCAGAAAAATTGTTCAGAATGTCATTCCCCAAAGCCTTTTAAACAGCAAGGCAGATGAGTTTATCAGGTGTAACTCACAATGCCTCCTCTCTTCATGGAACTAACTGATAATGGTGGCGATGGTGGTACTGAGGAGGCCCTGGAGTCAGTTTCACTTCTTTTAAACCTCAGTTTCTCCCTGTAATGATTAGCCTTTACCTGGAAGGCCACAAGCTCAGAAATCTCACACAGTTTCTGGCGCACTATAACTGTCAGAGCGTTCTGTGACCTTACTCTTGGCTTTACCTTTTGGGCATTATTTCTTTAATATATTTATAAACAATTTAATTCAGGAAAACAGCTAATAATGTGGGAGGTATTTATGATCTTTAGTCATATCCTAATTTATTGATTTACAGTCAAGGCTATTTAGAGCACTTAAAAACAGTCAAGGCTATTTAGAGCATTTTCCAAGCCATAGAGTCGTGTTCTTATCTTAAAGAATTTTTAACCCTAATTTTCATTATGTGTCCCTTTTCTTCTTCATCCATCTTCAGCTCTTAGAGGATGATTGGCGCCTTGCTAAAGAGCTTTGGGTTTCAAACTGTACATTAAAGCATCTGGGCCCTAGAATTTACTTGGCTCATAAACCTATGTTACAGAACAATACAAGACTGGTTTAAGGTACATTATGGTTACATGTATGGCAGTTATATTTTATTCAGCCTGTGCTGAGCACCTTCAGGACCCATAGTCCCTTCAAGATGGTAGACTCAACTGTTTACTGAATTTCATGTATAATAAAATACATGGCACTTTTTCTGAAGATATCTTTCCCTCACATTAGGAAATCTAACTCTTCAAAGAAAATGAAAACAAGGAAAAGAGAGTGAAGTACTGAAAATAAATTTGAAAGTGGATTTGGAGAATGACCATTCCTATCTTCTAGAAGAGTTATGGATTATAACAAGTCTGTATCTCTGTGAAGGTCTTTGCATTAGCTGGTCTCTCTCTCTGGAATGCTTTTCCCTCCAGTCTTGCTTCACTCAGCTAAGATTACATCTCCTTAGAGTGGTTGTCCCTGACCATCCAATCTCATTCATTTTCTATTACATTACTTTGTTTTATTTATTACAGTACATTACCATCCAAATATTTCACATTGTTTTTTTCATTGCCTTCCCTCATCCCCCCTGGACTAAAAGTTCCCTGAGGTCAGAGTCAAGTCTACATGTTTATTGCTGTTTTCTGAGCAATTAAAACAGTGCTATGCACTTCTACTTGCGCTTAGTCGTTCAGACATATCCAATTCTTTGCGACCCCATAGACTGTAGCCTGCCAGACTCCATGGGATTCTCCAGGCAGAATACTGGAGTGGGTTGCCATTTTCTTCTCCAGAGGATCTTCCCAACCCAGGGATTGAACCTAGATCTCTTGCACTGAAGGCAGATTCTTTACCATTTGAACTACCAGAGAAGCCCTTGCTAGACACTTAGTAGTTAGTCAAAAAATATTTTGTCATTTAGTTGAATGTCAAAAGACCCAGATCTGGTCTTCTGGGGTTATTCCAGTGCAAAAGAGTATATTTTTAATCTTTTGAGTCAAATTTACCTTTCAGAATTGGATTAAAATGAAACTCCCCCATAATAAAAGTTTATACGCACAAAATTTTGCATATAATTTGAGAGAGTCCATGGACCTCAGGCTAGGAATTTCAGCAATAAAAGTGTATGCATAAATATTAAGAAAACCTAACTGAAATATTGAGCTAAATATCACAAAAAAATTTAATTACTATGAACATCAGTGTCTTAATGTTCATTTATGGTAATGAATTGTGTTGCTCTGGGAAAATTTTGCAACCCTCCAGAGGAAAAAAAAAGGCTATCTATAAATGTTGTGTGTTTTATTTATATGGTGGAAAGGATTTAAAGCTTATAGAGAAAGGCTAATAAAAATACATACTGTAGAGCAACATAAAATATATTTCAAATAGGTAGGGAAAAATGAGTCAAAAGAAAAAAAATAAGGCTAGGAATGTAAGATAGGGCCAGGAGAGAGATTCATACTCAAAATTTATGCCATGAAATTCAACATTCTTGCTAGAAGATAGTAACAAATTTTATTCACGGTTTTTTAGCAGCCAATGCAAAGGAGAAAAAGTAATCAGTTATGCCTTGCAGAGGGTCATATTTTATATACACTTATATATGAATATATGTATATATATTTAACAGCACACTGCTGCTTGAAAGAAGGAAGCTTGAGTGCAGGAATAAGGAATAGAGATTATGATTATATTTCCACTGTTTGTTTTTGATAAGTGCCCTTGTACCTGAGCTGGAAATAACCTATAGTAATATTTTCAAAAATAACTAGCACTGTGGATGTTTATAATCAAGATTTGATGCCTCTCTGTAATTTTTGTTAGCAGTAGGACTAACAGAGAGAGGCCTCATTTGGCCAGTTAAGACCCTTCTAGATCACATACAGATGTGAGAGTTGAACCATAAAGAGCACCGAAGAATTGATGCTTTCGAACTGTGGTGCTGGAGAAGACTCTTCAGAGTCCCTTGGATAGCAAGGAGATCAAACCAGGCAATCCTAAAGGAAATCAACCCTGAATGTTCATCGGAAGGACTGATGCTGAAGCTCCAATACTTTGACCACCTAATGCAAAGAGCCAACTCATTAGAAAAGACCCCATTGCTGGCAAAGGTTGAGGGCAGGAGGAGAAGGGGGCGACAGAGGATGAGATGGCTGGATGGCATAACTGACTCAGGGGACATAAGTTTGAGCAAACTCCAGGAGATAGTGAAGGACAGAGAAGCCTGGCTTGCTGTGAGCCAGTTTGAGCAAACTCCAGGAGATAGTGAAGGACAGGGAAGCCTGGCTTGCTGTGATCCAGTTTGAGCAAACTCCAGGAGATAGTGAAGGACAGGGAAGCCTGGCTTGCTGTGATCCGTGGGGTTGCAAAGATTCTGACAGGACTGAGTGACTGAATAACAGTAATGCAAGGGCAGAGGGGTGGGGAACAGACAAAGAAGACAAGGGTGTATCCGGCAGCACTCCACCCCCTCCTGCTGAGGCACACTATTTGCAGACAACGGCCAGCACTTTCATGCTCCCCTTTAAGGGGTGTGCACCTAGGATGCTGACTAAATTTGCACATTCTTCCAGCTAACCTTAGTTTCCTTGGCTAGCAGACCATCAGAGACTTCCAGGCCTTCTCTTCAACAGAGCAAATACAATAACTAGCTCCTCAGAACATTATGTGGATTTGTGGCATTCTCTGAGGGGCTATAAATGGATCACACTGACAGCTTTATTTGTCATTCTTAAATGGAATGTGTTTCTCCCCTTTGTGTTAAATTGAAATCAGATGGCATTTCTTATTTCAATGTGGGATGTTTTTACTCTCGTAATTGCAAAAGTACATTCACGATACTGATACTATTCTAATTGACGAAATTTGTGTTTCATTATTGGGGAGAGGGGGGGTGTCCTGTACTTGTAATGTAACTGAGGGAAAACAACTGATGTAACATTTTCCTTTTGCCAGTGTACTGAGATCTTGATACAGTGGATAGAATTCTGTCACCATATGGAAGCAGAGACAATTATAGTACATGTAATGACATGAATTTTAGAAGCAAAGATATAAAAAGGCATATCCAGCCCAGTAGCCACAATGCAGAAACATAAATGTTTTTTGAGATCTCATCTCTCCCTTGCCTCCCCAGCTTATCTCTGGTCCTAATCCTCTATCCCTGCCCTTGTGATGGATCTGGTTCAATATATGCAGTGGCAAAAATAGCAGGAATTGGATTAGAAAGTACTTACTACCTTCATACCTTAGCATATTTTTTATGTACTAAAATCAGTTGCTTTTCAATCCAGGTGAAATTTTTCATTAAAAATTCTCTACCATTCCTATCTACCCACTACTGAATCTGGGTGAGAAAGGAAGTCCTCCTACTTTAATTTCTTAAATCCATCTAAAGC